TACTTAAAGGGCATTTTACCATAAAGAGAGACACTTTCTTACAAGTTTATTGTCACATTCCTCCAAAAGAAATAAGGACCGCAAACCCAGGATGAAGAGCGAAGCATACCAATACTTCAAATTCCTCTCCTTTTTTTTTACAGCAACATAAAATGGTCATCTAGTGCCGCGCTATCGTAAAATTAAATCATTCTCACTTGTCGTTTCATAGGGCCTATGCCGACAGATTAAAAAACTACATTGTGAAATGTAATTTCCTAAACTGAGGGTGGAAGAAGCATTTGAAATATCTTTCCTTTGCAGAGGCAGCTCAGTCAGTCTGGCTTCCTTGAGCAAGAGTTCACAGTGGGGTACAATTTAACACTGCTATTTGCCTTGTGGGTCCAAGCAACACTTGTTTTAAGAGTGCCATGGGAAACACTGGGAATTGACAACAAACAACAAGGTTATCCCTTTCATCGCCTCTTTCCTTTGGAAAATTGCTTCCACAACCAGTGTCTTAAAGATGTTAAGGCTTTTCTGTTTTAACATATAGGAGTTGTGTGTGATGTTCTCTGCCTGCTAGCAAAAGTGCTCTTCCACTAATGGAAGGTGAGTTTTAATTCCACACAGTAGAGCAGGCATCCCCAAACTCAGCCCTCCAGTTGTTTTGGGACTACAATTCCCATCATCCTTGACCACTGGTCCTGTTAGCTAGGGATGATGGGAGTTGTAGTCCCAAAACATCTGGAGGGCCGAGTTTGGGGGTGCCTGCAGTAGAGGAATCCAATGCAAAGGCTGCACTAGCAGAAACCCATTGCACAATAGATTACACAATCTGTTGTGCAAACAAAGCTACCAGCAACCTGCTTCTGTGTTCTGTTATGCAACAATATTCCACAATATGCAACAATACTACCCAGGTTTCCTACTGATGAACATAAATCACATTGTGATTAGGTGCTAGAATGAAATGCCATAAAAAGTGTGATGAATTCAAACTCTTATTTGAGCCAGAGCTTAAAAATTCTCGGCATGAGATTTCCCCCACTTTCCATTCCATTTTTCTTTCTTTAGTTTCCTCTGCTCTCTGTACTAGAAAGCATTGCAGCTCACTGATAGAGAAGGACATGCTTAGCATGCAAGAGGTCCCAGGTCCAATCCCTGGTATTACCAGGTAAGGCAGTGAATGTATCCTGCCTGAAACCCTGGAGAGTCTCTGCCAGTGAGTGTTGAAAATACTAAGCTGGACAATGGACTGACTTGGTATAAGGTAGCTTCCTTTGCACCTCCTGAATTCTGGATTAGTTTGTACAATGAATTCTGGAACTGGGCCATGCACAGTTTATTGTAAGACTTCCATCGCCCCCCCCCAAAAAAAATCACTTACACCTTCCTCTCCTCATATCACTAATTTGCAGATTAGAGCAACAGCCTTGATGCAAGTGCAAACAATGTTTCATATGAGGTTTTACTGGTGTGTGTTTCCCACCCTTCACTATATTTGCATCTTTTGCTCCATTGTGCTACTGACACTCATGTGTGCGCCGATGAAACTGCTGGGAAAGGAGGGAGGGAGGAAGGATTCATGCTGTGATCACATTTGCATTCTTTGTTTGGGGTGTTTTGCTGAGACACTCATGCACACTGGAATAACACCACTGAAGCTTTCCGGGTCATGTGGCTAGCATGGCTTCTGGAACGCCGTGATGGAAACCAAAGTACACGGAAACGCTGTTTACCTTCCTGCCATAGCGGTACATATTTATCTACTTGCACCGGCACGCTTTCGAACTGTTATGTTGGCAGGAGCAGGAACCAAGCAATGGGAGCTCACTCCATTGCAGGGATTCGAACTGCCAACCTTCCAATCTTCAAGCCCAAGAGGCTCAGTGGTTTAGACCAAAGCACCACCCGTGTCCCCCACACACTAAATGGGCAATTCTGATCCACATATATATGGATATCCAACCATACTTGGGTTCACATACACACAGGAATTTCTTAATAACTGCTGTATTCTCTGAATTAGTGACGGGATCCTGTCACCTCCACAACTTGCTTCCATGAGCCCCAGTCTGCCACACCCATTCCTTTCCATTTGTTTGCCAGTAGTGACACAAATGGCAGGGGAATCTCACTGGAAACCTCCCTGAAAGGACTCCCTAGCAACTTGAATATGTACTGTAGGAGACGTATCCCAAATGCAAGGAACCCCAGGGCATGTATTTCCCAATGCACCTGATATCCATATTAAGGAGTCAGGCATCCTGGGAAAATGAATTTTCCAGAGTCGCTTCCACTTGGTATGTTGCCACTGTACTACTTAAGTTTTCAGAGAAGGAGCAAGGGACATACTTCTGTTGGACATTTAAAACTCAAGCAGAGGAGAGCACTTGGGGAAGTGGTGTCTGAATTGAAATCTAAACTCAAGAAATTTACATCTCAAGCCAGGTGGGGAGGGGAATCAAAATTCAAGCAAAATCACAGATATAACCCCAAAATATAGAACTTACCGTATTTTTCGCTCCATAAGATGCATTTTTCCCCTCCTAAAAAGTAAGGGGAAATATGTGTGCGTTTTATGGAGCAAATGCAGGGGGGAGGCAGCGCTTCCCCCCACCGCCAGCCCCACAAGCTCGGGGAGCAGTGGAAGGCTGCACGCCTTTCCGCTGCTCCCAGACCTGCTCCTTGGGGCTGGCGGTGGGCTTCCCCCCACCAGCCCCAAAGAGCAGGTCGAAAGGAACCTGAAGCCTCCGGAGCACAGCGGGAACTCCCGCCGTGCTCCAGAGGCTTTGGGTTGCCTTCACTGAAGCCTGGAGAGCGAGAGGGGTCAGTACGCATCGACTCCTCTCACTCTCCAGGCTTCCAAGGTAGCCGCCTGAAGGTGACTGAACGCACCTAGAACGGCACCTTGTTTTAGAGGGGGAGAACAAGAAAAAAAAAATTCTCTCCCTCTCTGCACAGCGCCTCCTGCTGCTTCGCTGAAGGGGCGCTGCACAGAGAGGGGGAGATTTTTTTTTTCTTGTTCTCCACCTCTAAAACAAGGTGCGTCCTATGGTCAGGTGCGTCCTATAGAGCAAAAAATACAGTAATCTACTACATGATACATTCCAGTGTCTGTTCATATAGTCTTTAAATCTGCTGTCACCAAGCAAATGCTGAGAATTCAGGCAAAAACGCATTGAGGTGTGATCCAGCCCTAACTTGTTTCACATTTACATGCTGGCTTATCTCACAAAATAACTGGAATTCATCCAGCTTTGTAGCCATTTCTTTCTGTGAAACTAGCATGCATTAATCCATTTCCAGTATTCTTTTCTGGAACGGATCTGGGGATGGGGGGAGGAAGCACAAATAATAAAAGGAAGGAAATTGAGGAGGAGAGGTGGTGCTCATCGATATTTGCACTGACAGATTGCTGTTTTACAAATATCCTCCTGGGACGACCCTTCTGCTAGAGAGCGTGTCAATAGCAGATGCACACACAGCTGCAATAGCCCACTGGAACATTCAAGGCAGCGAAATTTGGCAAGGTGGAAAAAACTTCAGGGACTAGTTTGGAATGTCTCTGTTTATATTGTACTTATATGAATCTCCAAAGCCATGAGAATAGATACGCTTCCTGGTGATTACAGATCAAAGCATAAGTGACAGGAAGGAGTTAACATTTTTAATCAAGACTGCTGGCCAATTGCGTTAAGCACAGAACTAGGGATAGGGAATTATTTCATTATGTAAGAACTCAGTACTGACCACATGAACTAGCAGCAGCTCTCTAGGGTATCAGACACGACTGCTTTCTTAGCCCTACCTAGAGACGCCAAGTGAGGAGGAATTAAAGAACCTTTTGATGAGGGTGAAAGAGGAGAGCGCAAAATATGGTCTGAACCTCAACATCAAAAATACCGAAGATCATGGCCACTGGTCCCATCACCTCCTGGCAAATAGAAGGGGAAGAAATGGAGGCAGTGAGAGATTTTACTCCATGATCACTGCAGATGGTGACAGCAGCCACGAAATTAAAAGACACCTGCTTCTTGGGAGAAAAGCAATGACAAACCTAGACAGCATCTTAAAAAGTAGAGACATTACCTTGCCAACAAAGGTCCGTATAGTAAAAGCTATGGTTTTCCCAGTAGTGATGTATGGAAGTGAGAGCTGGATCATAAAGAAGGCTGATTGCCGAAGAATTGATGCTTTTGAATTATGGTGCTGGAGGAGACTCTTGAGAGTCCCATGGACTACAAGAAGATCCAACTTATCCTTTCTTAAGGAAATCAGCCCTGAGTGCTCACTGGAAGGACAGATCGTGAAGCTGAGGCTCCAATACTTTGGCCACCTCATGAGAAGAGAAGACTCCCTGGAAAAGACCCTGATGTTGGGAAAATGGAGGGCACAAGGAGAAGGAGAAGGGGACGACAGAGGACGAGATGGTTGGATAGTGTTTGCGAAGCTACCAGCATGAGTTTGACCAAACTGCAGGAGGCAGTGGAAGACAGGAGTGCCTGGCATGCTCTGGTCCATGGGGTCACGAAGAGTCGGACACGACTAAACGACTAAACAATAAAGAGATGCCAAGGATTGAACCTGGGAATTTCTGTATGAAAAGCAGATTACCACTGAGCTACAACCCTTCCCCATTAATCCACTCCTTTAAGTTAACAAACCTAAATCCCAGCTCCCAGGCTAATACAGAGATCAAAACATCCTTTGGATTTCACAAATTATCTGAATTTTGCAATACAGTTCTTGGCTCAAAATACATACCAAAATTTCTTTCAAAAATGTGCATTTTATTATGAAATACATTTTGAAACGTGTACATTGAAGTAAAATGCATGTTGAAATGGGTATTGTGTCATAAAAACAAGTATTATGCAAATGTCAGTACTTAAAAAAAGAACCACAGGACAGACTTGCGAATGAGAACATTTGAAACTAGAATCATAGAATTGTAGAGTTGAAAGGGACCGCAAGGGGCATCTACAGGTCCAGTCCCCTGCAACGCAGGCATCTTTTGCCCAACATGGGGCTTAAACGCAAAACCCTGAAATTAAGAGTCTCATGCTCTACTGACTGAGCTGATGTGCACGGAAAATAGGCTGGAAATGTGTCCATCCAAAACAGAAAACAAATGATGGCTCTCCAAAAAATGGTAAAGCTATGCCCTTCTCCATTAATTATTAATTATGGAGATGCTTTTTTAAAAAAAGAAAGCGCTGTCTAATATGCAAATTTCTAAGTACAATTATTAAAATAAAACTGCAGGAATTAGGGATGGGGAAGAAAATTGATTTGGTTCACATTTTAATGAAAATATGCTTAATTCACACTTCCTGAAACATTATATGAATAGAAGCACAGCTAACCTTCAAAATCTGAATGTTTTGATGCACTTCTACAACCAAATAATGTGTAAAAATGCATATATTATGGGAAAGTGTGCATTAAAACACACAGGAGTGAAAATAGCATACAAAAATGCATTGTATTTAAGTGCTTGGGAACAATGTGTCTATTAGGCAACATTGCATGCACACGTTCAGATAAATTTATACTGAAATACAGACAAATATTCACAGGGACTCTTTTTAAGACAAAGCAGCTGCAAACTGATGTGGAAATGTGGAGAACTTAAGGCTGGGGAAATGACAAACTGAGATACAGCTAAATTGCCAAATTAGTCCATCCCTAGCAAGAACTCAGCCAAGCAGTGCAACACTGAAAAACATACAACATACCTCTCCCTGCTCTCGTTTGTACTCCAAACCTTGAAAGATTTTGCACATCTCTCTTTTTTGAGTTACTGCTGGTGCATATATGAAAGCAGTTTTAAATGTAATCAGTCATACCAGAGGGTTTCACTTAATCAATCAACGGTAATGCTAGAAGGAAGATATATGTTTTCATTTCAATTTCCCTGAGCTTTCTGTGTGTTGCTTATGTCTCTGATCTTAGAACTGGACCATAAGCAGGGATGTAAGAAGGCATTGTTTTCCGTTCTGTCCTGTATTGCATGCGGAGCTGTTTCCATTATGCTGGAGTTCATCTTCTGCCAAAAAATTCATCTCACTCTCGCCTATAATCAGTTAGGTAAACTACATTGCCATTACATTATTCCATGGAGATGGGAGATGATGGAATGGCAGCATAGGTGCCAACTCCTCGGGGCTGAGGGGGCTTTGCCCCCCAGTAAAATATTTGAATGGAATATTATATGGAAGTATGGAATATTATATATATATGGAAGTATGGAACATGGAAGTATGGAATATTATATGGAATATTGGACTATTATATGGAAGTGAGAGCTGGACCATAAAGAAGGCTGATCGTCAAAGAATTGATGCTTTTGAATTATGGTGCTGGAGGAGACTCTTGAGAGTCCCATGGACTGCAAGAAGATCAAACCTCTCCATTCTTAAGGAAATCAGCCCTGAGTGCTCACTGGAAGGACAGATCATGAAGCTGAGGCTCCAATACTTTGGCCACCTCATGAGAAGAGAAGACTCCCTGGAAAAGACCCTGATGCTGGGAAAGATGGAGGGCACAAGGAGAAGGGGACGACAGAGGACGAGATGGTTGGACAGTGTTCTCGAAGCTACCAGCATCAGTTTGACCAAACTGCGGGAGGCAGTGGAAGACAGGAGTGCCTGGCGTGCTCTGGTCCATGAGGTCACGAAGAGTCAGACATGACTAAACGACTAAACAACAACAACAACAAAAATATTTGAGGGGCCAGGACCCCCCCCCCCAAGTTGATGGGCATTGCCATTCAAATGGTGTGCGTGCACCGCATCATGCAGTTGATTATGTGGGGTGGGGCCCCTGGAGAGCAGAGTTCAAGAAAACCTGTTGTCCAACAAGTTCCCCAACTCTGCTATATGGCTTTCTGCTCCTAGTAATCAGAGAAAGTAATGGGAGAAGATTAGCATTGCTTTGGAAGTTTGCAGAAAGTGCCAGAACCATTTCAGCTTTTAAATATTAAGCAGATATGTTATGACAAAGCCTGAGAATACCTGACAGACATCATTTACATTTGTAAAAGGTCACTTACAAATGTCAGTGATGGGTGATTTGAACAGGAATAACAGTCCTCTTCTTCCCATGCAATCTTTGAGCAAAGGAATGGGGCAGGGTGGGGGGTGGGAGAAACTAAGTGCTAAAGAGCGTACATGTGATGTGCAGGGGGTTCCAGCTGTAAATAAGTGCCCAGCTGCCTTCAAGGTGGAGGAGTCTCCTTCTTTGGAGGTCTTTAAGCAGAGGCTTGACAACCATATACCAGGAGTGCTCTGATGGTGTTTCCTGCTTGGCAGGGGGTTGGACTCGATGGCCCTTGTGGTCTCTTCCAACTCTATGATTCTATGATTCTATGATTCTATTCTAAGGCAAAGCTGGCCACAGCATGGCAGTTTACTGCTGCCATCACCTCTCACTTCCCACTAGCTATGAATAAGAATAGGGAAAGGATTTTTAGGTCTGCTTTTCACAGAGAACTCACTCAATCTAATACTCCCAAACTCAGTTGCAGATTGGAATACAGCAATTGCACACTTCTCTGGATTTTGTAACGTATTTTATGCATTTGCATATTGTCTTTTATAGAAAAGTTGCATACAGAATGATTATTTTACTAGTCAGTGCTCTGAAACGGCTGTATTGTGTACAAAAAGTGCATGTTTTACATGCACCTCCAAAGTGTAGCCCTCCCAAAGTTGTTGAAATACAACTCCCATTGGCCCCAGCCTATGGCCAGGGATAGTGGGAGTTGTAGTGGCAGCATCTGGAGGGCCAAACAATCCCTACACCTGTTGTAAACTTATATATTCAATGTGCCTGTTCTGATCTGACTTTTTGGACAAGACTCTTTTGTGCACAGTATTCTGTTAAGGAATAACTGGGGGGGGGTCCATTTTTCAGGCAACATGGACAAATATCATTCTCCAACTTGCTCCAAATTTATGATAGAAGTTGGATTTTAAAGTTCAGACCATTATCCTGGTTATAGAAACATGTTGTTTTCAGAATCCTGATCCTCTGTACATAGGTGTTCTGGGTCATAGGGCTTCTGAAAGTGTTGTACCTGCTAATTTGAAATGCACAGAAGTGACCAGAAAGCTGTTCTGTGGGGCTCCATGTGTGCACAGAAACCCCTGCTCTATAGCATATAAACTGACACAAAGAATTCTCTTGAACTTTTCCATTCATATACGAGAGCTTGGTTAGTGGAGGTATTGCAGAACCCTTTTTTTATATACCTGCAATAATCTCTGGCACATAAAGAGAAATTAGTGTGACACATTCTTGGAATACAAAAGTCTGTTTTAGCAGCTTACTTATAATTTGAGAATCCTTGCCAGATCATGAAGCAGGAGAAGAACCAGCATTTTAGAAATGCCAGCTTACTCTAATCACTTTGACATTTCCAGTCATTAAAGTATGTTGTACTTGACTAATGTGAAATCCGTTTGTATTTTTTTTAAAAAATGGAAGAGCTTTTGCATCCCAGCAAGAGGTAAAAAAATGCCAGCTTTTGCTCTCCTTTTGTGTGACATTGATGTCAAAATGCCACCTCTTGTATAATTTGTCTTTCCCAGTTAAACGTGTCGCTTACCTGCAGAGATGAATGGAGGGCAAAAGAACTCATTTTTCCCCTTTTCTTTTTTGCAAAAATGCTAGCATGAGCTTTGTTAATAACTCACTCACACGGAGCTATCTTGGGGCCGAGTAAATAAGAATGGAGGGCTCTGCTAGCAGTGCAATCTGGGTTCAGAGCTAAAAAAAACACCATCTGCACTGAAACAATTTAAAGAGGTTGGAGCCTTTTTTTAATGGACCCTTGCTCTCCACTCTGCTACATCCAGTGACTGCTCCCAGTGTCAGCTTTCCTCACAGTTCTCAAATTCACATTTGGCCCCTGCTCCCTCCTGCTTACACCTGCTGTTATCCATGTTAATTGTTGTGGTAACCAATATGGCAGGTTTGGGGGAATGTACTGCATGTACCTGTTGGCCTCTGTGAAAACAGGATGCTGGACTAGATGGGCCTTTGGTCAAATACAGCAGGGCTCTTCTGAAGTTACTCTGTGCCTGTGCAATACTATGGCTGCAACACACTCTGGGCACCCCTAGGTTTAAGTCCTACACAATCAAGATGGGAGAAGAAGGCACATAATATGGCACTGAACACAAGATGATCGTGAGAGAAGAGAGGAAACTGTAATTTGGATGGGGACGGGTGCACAAGAATGAATCCCTGAGATCTGAATGTTGGTTTGTGTGTCCAAATGACCAAACACAAATGGTTTAGACTAGAGATGGGCAAACTACCCAAGCCAAGCCAAATCCAAATTTCCCCAAACCTACAACCAGTCTCTGCTATGCAATTGTTTTAGCTGTTCTCCTATAGCCTTGGATACAATCCAATATGTGTGTTTAAGAACACAAGAGAATGAGAAAACACCTGCAGGATCCAGCCAAAGGTCCATCTAGTCCAGCATCCTGTCATTGCGCGTCAAGGTCCCCCAGGCCACCCCAATAACTCACACTTCACACATCAATTATTGTTTAAGGTTTTTGGCATGAATTTGGCCACAACTTTATTTAAATACACACACGTGAGTGGTTGCTTAGGCATTGGTTACGACTATCTGTCCTTGCCCCAGGGACAGAACTGACTTCCGGATTCCAGCGGAAGCCAGTCAGGGAGAACCATATTGGGGAGAAATGAAGCTGGACATCAGTCCCCCATCTCTCACCCTCATGCCTCCTGGGGCTTGCACAGCCCAAGTCCGATGCCAGGGACAAGGACGAAAAGAATGGCAAGCCCCTGGATTCCTTTAACGGAATTCCCTTTCCGCACCACCATTGGAGGGGTAGGCACTTACCCCACCACCAACCAATTTGAACCAATGCCTAACAATACAAGTTGTGACGATTTGCTACGCAGTAGGCAAAAACCAAATGGCAACAGCCAATCAGCCAAATGGACAAAATTCCTACCAGGCCCCTGCCCCAAGGCAGACGACCCCATGACAGGCATAACAAGGTCAGAGGACAACAAACCCCCCCTTTTTTGGGGAGGGTGGGCG